TCTGCACATGTATCTGCATACATGTATGTACATCTGCGTGTGCATGGCTGTGCATCTGTTTGTTCCTGTGTGTGCCTCTGTGCGTGGCTCTGTGTGCATGTGCGCACATCTGTACATCTGTTTGTGTCTGCATCTGGCTGTGTGTATGCCTGTGTGTGTTTGTGCATATGTGTCTTCATGTCTGTGTGTCTGCATACTTGTATGTACCTCTGTGGGTGTGCATGCTTATGTGCCCATCTGTGTGCATGTATGAACATCCGTGCATCTGTTTGTTCCTGTGTGCCTGTCTGTCTGTGTTCATGTCTGTTTGCACATACATGTGTTCACATCTGTGCATGTCTGCATACATATATGTATATCTGTGCGTGGCTGCATGTATGTACATTTATGCATGTGTATGTGTGCATGTATGTACATTGTGCATGTGTGCATGCATGCTTATGTGCTCATCTGTGTGCATGTATGCACAGCTGTGCATGTTTGTTCCTGTGTGTGCATCTGTGTCTGTACACAGCTGTCTGTGTGCATGTCTGTGCACATCTGTGTGTGTGTCCCTGTGTGTGCCTCTATATTTGTGTGTGTGTCTGCACATCTGTGTCCATGTGTGCATGCATCTGTGTATGTGTGTCTAACTTTAGAGGCCCAGTCATGTGGCAGGTGCTCCACCCTTGAGTCCAGTGGGACCTCTGTCCTCTCCTGGCATCATCACAGCCTACCCAGGCCCTGGTCCCGCCTCATGGCAGGAAAGTGAATCTGAAGGGAAGACCCCGCAGTGTTCAGTATTGGCTGCAGCTCGAGAAGAGGCACCCAGACAAGCCTGGTATCTGAGCAGCACCTTAGTGAGCACGGGCTGTGAGCCCTGTGAGAAGCTGAGCAGATCTTGGGGAAGGCTAACCCCACGCTGAGCTCCAGGCTGCTGGGCTGCTCTCAGTATGGAGGGGACTAGCTCACACCAGCTCAGGGAGATGTGCTGCAGGTGCTGCCCTGCCAGCCAACCTTAGAGTACATCAGTGTCACTTACATGCTGCACCTGAGACCCCAGCTATGAAGTACCCATGCCATGCAGTCTGAGTAGGGGGAAATGCTGCACAGCCCAATAAATACTTCTCTCAAGCTGTGTAGACAGGCTCGCTCTCTTTCTGTAGCATGCTCACCACACCATGACCTTTGGCTGCCTATATATGTGTGTGGGGGGGAGGCATTTTAATTAAAGGGGTTCCTGGGCAGCTGCTCTAATTAAAATGTCACAGCATCGTGTATTAAACCCCCATGCATTTAAAAATGGCCACAGGATGCTTTATCTAAACCTCCTTTGACAAGGTGTAGATAAAGCATTCCACAGCAATTTAAAAATACATGGGGGCTTAACACATGTGACATTGCAGCAATGTGTACATGTATAGGCAGCCTTTGTGTCTACATGAGTGGTTTTCAACCAGGTGCCTGGAGATTCTTCCAAGGGTGTCAGGGGCTGCCGTGCAGTGTTACAGCTGTGAGTGTGCAAACAGGGTGCACAACATCAACCCAGAGATTTCAAGTAGGAATCCATAATGTCAAAACCATTCTTCCCTATTGTGGTCTTCCTGAGATATTTGCAAGAGAAGAATTGCTCTGTTATTTTTCTGTAGTCAAAAACATGAAAACTAATAAGAGCTGGCATTTTGTGAGGAGTGCCTTGAGTCTAACAAGGGGTGCCTTGAGTTTAAAAAAGGTTGAGAACCAGTGGTCAACACTGATGCCTGTTGAGGTTCTTTGTGCAGACCTCTGCTAGCACAGACCTCACTGCATTTTGCAATGAAATTGGTATGTTCATTTTTACCAAATATGGTTACATTATTCAGATGCTTGATATGCTTCCATCGCTCCATGGTTTAAGTACAGTTAAGGTATCTGTCAATGTATCCTTTCTATGCCTATGAGATAAATATTAATATTAGCCCATTTTTACTAGTGGGGAATTGAGGATCAGACCGTTTAAGAAGCTGGTTTTCAACATTGCTAAGCACCCACAACTGAAATCGGAGTGACTGGGAGAGGGCATTGCTCAAAATCAAGATTTAAGGGCCTGATTTTCAGACAGCTGAGCACTCGAAGGTTCTTGCTTCAGGGGGACTTGGAAGTGTACAGCAGTTTAGAAAATTGGGTGCGTCTTAAATGACTTTTCCCCAAAGTCACACAGGGAACCTACAGCAAGACAAGTAATTGGACTCAGAATGCTTGAGTTCAGTTGAAGGACCCATCCTTTCTCCCTTACTGTAGTACTTATTTCTGAATCTGCCTCATTTCAGGTTTTGGAAGGATGTAGGTATGATGCTAGCAGGAGAAAGCTTTCTGGAAGGCATCTCTGTACAGTATCCCAACAGCAGTAACTGCACACAGCCTTCCTTCCAGATGAGAAACCAAGAAAGCAATCCTATTCATGGTGCAAAAGAAAATAAACTTGCTTTCCCCCCATTCAGCTTTCCCATAGCCAGATCACTGAAAAAGAAAGGATTACACTACTGTTCTGAAAAGACATGTTCACTGTCAAGTTAACAGTTGGTGAAGTGAAACCACCAAATTAAAAAGCTTTCCTTAAGCTGAAAACTCAATTGTTGGCTCCAACAAGTTTTTACATTTTTTGTCATTCTTTTTTCAATCCAGCAGATATTGTTATTTTTAAATAAACATTTACACTACAATGACTATAGCTGAAATACTTGAGCACTGCAGACCTGAAATTGAAACAGACATTGCTGATTTTCATTATCCAAATAGAATTTAGAGAATTTAACTGTGATTGAAAAATAAATTGTGGAAATTATCTATAATATTATTAACAACAAGGGAGGTTATATACGTATATATATTTGTAACGTGATTTTTACTTTGAAGTTTATGGTGAGAAAGACTGACCTGACTTCCAGACTATCTTGGGGCCCTGACCCTGGAAGCTGCTGTGTACTGATGTCGCTGTGTGCCTAAATGGGACCCTGCTGAGGTCAGTGAGGAGCTGAGGGATTCAGAGGCCTGCCAGTGCCTGGACAGGGCCCAAATACAAACTTGGAAACCAAACGCTTAGTTGTATTTTAATATCTATTGGCCAAGACTGAGTAGTTAAAGTAGTTAATCCTGGCAGGTATAATAAATATACAACTGAAAGGGACTATGTCTGGAATACGCTGATTGTGTAGCATTGTTTCCCAGTTCAAAATATGACTTCATCTTGTAATCATAATACAGTACATACATCAAAATCAACCAGGGAGTAGTGCAGGACCCAGTGTAGAGCAAAAAAAGTGGCACTGGAATCGGTATGGAGCCAGGGAGCAGCACAGGACCCAGTGCTGACTGCAAGTACTCGATCTAAGACAAGGCTTTGGTTTTCCCGTGTCAAATGGGAGGTGGGAGGGGACCTCATTTTGGAGTGGAGTAAATATTGTGTATAGGTGAGTTTCCTTAGTGGATTACCAAATATAGTGAAAGTTTCAAATATTAATCCACCTTGTAGGCCATCCTACTAAAACACCTACTATGCCATCTAACTGTTCTGCACATCTCCTTCAGAAGTGTTCTGCTATCAAGAATAAACACATTATTTCATACCTTGATGGGGAGAAAGCAGCATTCTTCACAGATTCAGCATGCACCCCAGCTGCTAGTGCCTCTGAATACTTATCAAGCACACTTCTTTCCTTTAAAAAACATTCTAAGTTTAAATAGGCCAGACAATTGAGCACTGACCTTTTCTCCTTATTTTTTTTCACTGATAGTTCAAAATATGCTGCTGATCCTATCTATAAAAGACCCTGGCAATGGCCACCTTGAAAAAGACGTACATTTTGTTCCTTCTACTGCATGTATCTCAGTCTTGTCAGGACACTCAGGGACATCTTTGTCAAAATATATTTATCCTGGGCATGCTAACTTTTAGGGCCAAGGTGCATGATTCTGTTTCACTGAAAATGAAGATAAGAGTTGTGTTCTGACAAGATGCTAGTCTTTCTATATTTCATGTTCTCATTAAGGACAGTAAGTTCACAAGGCACAGGCAACATAAGGGATCATTTTATACTGCTGACCTAATTTCCTTGTACACAAGGAAATGTCCCTGAACTTGGGAGTTTGTAGATGCACTTAGTAATACTTTGAATTAACAGACTTATTCTGAATTCTTTATTGAAAAGATAAAATTGAGAACAG